AGATGGAACAAAAATAGGGGATTAATGAAAGTCTGAGCATGCGTGCGTGCGTGCGTGCGTGCGTGCGTGCATGAGAGAGAGAGAGAGAGAGAGAGAGATGAAGGCTATCGTTTTAAATATATTTTAAGTATGGGGGAAGTCTAGATCAGTGGTAGATGACATACTTGGAATGCAAAAGCAGTGGCAGAGATAGAGATAGCACACTAGGGCTAAAGCCCCAAATCTTTCATTTGGAGCCCCGGTGGGCACTGCCAAATAAAGATCCAGAGGCCCTGTTGATTTCTTTTACATCGGATCCCCCTGCATTAGCTGGTTTTTGCCCACATGTTCTTCTTCACCTGTTCTCCCCCACCCCTTGAATCTTTCTGCCTGTCCCCACCAAACCCTCAGAATCGAATTCCCTCCTCTCTGCCATCCCTACACCTCTTTTTACAAATAAATTGCCCATAGGAGACAAGGACTTTTAAAGACACGCAGAGAAAGACTTTGGAGCAAAAGTAAATTGCCCTGTGCTTTGTTCGTCTGTCTTTGTCCTTAGGTCCAAGCTGGGGGTCTTTTTGGTAGCTAGCGGTCTCTCTGTGCAGATCCTGGGTTCAAATTCTGGCATCTCCAAGCAGGGTGGAGAAGGACTTTTGCCTGAAAACCCAGACAGCCACTGCCTTTTGGTGTAGACAATACTGAACTTAATAGACCGACAGTCTGGCTTGGTATAAAGCAGCAGCTAATACTCTTGCAATTTTCTACCCACTTACCTGGGTGCAAGGGACACTGAACCCCATTAGACTTACTTATGAGTCAACACACATGGCCTATATATCTGCATACGGTTGCCTGCAAAGGAAATAATGCGACATGTACTTATTTTATTAATATTGTAATCTCTGTCCCTGCTCTGGAGGAAGATGGGGCATAAGAATTTTAAGTAAATATAAAGGAACCTCGCAGCCTGTGTGTGTTTGGGTTCCAGGGAATCCCTTCCTCAGCTTATCCCGAATGAGCCCGTGCTGTTGGTTTTATTTCCTCTTGGCCTGCAGCCTTGCCAAATCAGAAGCCTATGATAATACAAGGACCTTCCCTGGGCCCGACCTGAAGGTGCTGACCCTGTGCCCTGGGAGGAGCGGGGCTGGTGGATGCAGACTGCCGATGGATAAAGGCCGCTCATTAGATCATCGCATGAGATGCTCCACTGAAAGAGCACCAAGACCCATCGGGGCTGCCTAATGCGGCCTCCTCAACACAGGGCCCCATTTGTATCCCCTGACAGTGGGGCAAGCTCATAGGAAAGGTCAGTCACAAGTAGGGTTACCAAATGACCAGGAACGGGGGTCAACATGGTAAGAGAAACCTGCCTCTTGAGCCCATTACTGCAGGGCGAAAAGCAGGGGAATCTTTTTCAAAGCAAAGATAAGCATGGCCCCCTATTAATCTTTGCCTCTCAAGCTGCTGCTAAAAACACAGCTGCAGCACCTGGCAGCAAAGTTGGCGTCCTTGAGTTTGAAAAGACAGGGAAGGGGGCCAGGAGGGAGGAAATACTCCACACTGGGCATGCCACAAGATCTAGACTGCACCACATTACCATGCCACAAAATGCACATGTTGAAGCATGGAATAAGTTTATCTTGATATGCATCTTCTGATGTGCAGTTTCTTCCACTCCAGCATTATGAATGTAGGAAAACATTCTTTTAAAACATAGGTTAATATTTAATGCTACTCAGCCTTCTGTTTTGTATTTTTATCCATATTTTATTAACCTTGTGTTTTTAATGTGTTACAGCTAGTTTTTATTGTGTTTTATCTTATGACTGTGAGCTGCCCAGAGATTCTGTGGCACAATTGGGTGACATACAAATGTTTTAGATAAATAAACAATAATAAATAAAACAAAGTGTGATTTTTCCCTCACAACCTCCCCAGACCAGTTCTAGGAATTTCTGTGGAGCAGATTAGGAAAGAATATTCACAAAAAAAATTTTCCAGCCCATGAATGCATCCCTCCTCTCCAGCTGGGTGCATGTTTATGTGTATGTGTGATGGGCAGCTAGTTCCCTGCGTTTGATTCAATAAGTTTCCAGAAAAGAAACGTAATGTACCAAAGAAGGTTTGGGTAACTGGCAACAATGTTCAGCATACATAACGTTCATCTCAGGCACTCAGAATATTTCATGTATTATTTCAGGAAACCTTACAACAGCCCTGTAAGGTGGAGCTGTGCAGACACCTTTTGAACTGGCCCATCTGTGTTTTGCAAACTGTCAGTCATTGCTCTGTCATCTGCTTATTGATGGGTTCACATTACACGCACACTCCTTGGCAAAATCAATCCCCCATAATTTCTGGAACTTTTTCCATTCCAGACCATTTTGAGTGTTTTTCTTAGTTCAGCATAAAATCAACACAAAAGTGCACAAAAACTATTGCTAGACAGCAGAGTCTGAAGACAGATCAGAAAAACATAGAACATGGGGGGGGTGCAATAATCATGCTTACATTAGTACATTTTACAGCAACTCTCACCTTTTTGTTTGAGTAAATCTGTGTACAGTTCTGGATATTTTTCTTATAATTTACATGTCTGTGGAATCTGCATGATTTGGAAAAGTCAGCCTGCTGCAGAATATATGAGCTGAATTCTTGTCATTCCAATCCATGATAGATTTCCCTTACGATCCCGTGGTGTAATTGTGCAGATATTCCAAAAGAAAGCTGACATTCGAAGAGAATGGACTGGGCTTCTCCTGAGCCCAAATAAAGGGTTTCTGGCAAGATTTTATATTGTGATGACCCGGTATAATAAGCAATACAATTAGATTCATTCATTAATTCCTTGACAAGGATTTGCTGGCTCATAACCACTCTGGCACAAAGAAACTGAATGTTTTGAAGCTTTAGTTTTAGCCAAGGATTCTCTCATATTCTAACAACCAATCTAGTCAATAATCTTATCCTGATAGAGTCAAGATCTTTTAATTTAAGAGCTGATGTTATATTTCTTATACTTTTTCAACAGTTATACTTTTGCAAAATATAACTAAAAGGAAAAAGACATGTTTCCACTTAGAGCAAAGTCACCCTGAACAATTGCATTATTCACAGACTGTAATATACAAAGTTTTGGTGAGCTCAAATTACTTACTGCAGTCCAGTAAGTATTAGGATGTCTCTCTGTATCTCCCTTGACTTCGGCATATCTATATATTCAGCCACTATATAGCTAATCTAGTTGGATGCAATCCTATTCATGTTTAGACAGAGTCCCTCAAATTCCAGTGTGCCCCAGGCAGCAATGCAATAATTACATGCATAGACAAAGGACTTGGAATGAAATACAATTCTAAAGCACTTTAAATATGAAGGTTTCACTCCTGCTCCACTGAGATCAAGGGTGAAGAAGGACTGCAGTTTCTCTGCCTGTTTACTGAGAAATAAGCCCTCTTGATTTCCGTTAGGTTTACTCCAGAGTAAGTGTGCCCAAGATAATAACTTTGCATTTTATTGTTAATCTGCATCCTGATACAGGGCCTGATCCGTTTTTCCAAAGGCAGTGAAGCGAAACGGAGAGGCTGCTCATTCCAGTGACCTTCCCAGGATAGGCTCAAGACATTTTACTGCCTAAGTCACTGCAGCAAATACCCTGGAACCACCACCAAGCCAAGGTACGTCGCGGTACCCAAGGCCAGCCAAGCTGGTTTAGTGCCCAAGACAGAAAATCCCACAAGTCCCTCTCTTCCCATCCCCACCCCCTTTATTGTGGCAATTAAAAGCCCAGCCGTAATGAATTCAGGAGCCATTTCTCGGTGCCCAAACCTGCTTCGTGTCTCACCCTATCTAATGCTACCGCCAGCGCTGCCTTATCTCTCCTTTTCCACCTTGCCCTGCAAAGCTCCTTTCTCTTCTTGAGGTCTGTTGCAAAGCAGAGGCCGCATTGGAAACCCAGCCTGGAAACAACCCCTTCTTCCAACAAGGAAAGATCTGGTGAGTTGGGAGGGAGTGTTTGGCATGAAAGGGCTGGAGGGGCGCAGTTCGCCCCTTCTCTGGCGAGGATTCCGGGAATCAACCTCAGAGCACCTTCCTAGCTTTCTTGACTTCCCATCTTCGTTGCCCCAGCTGGCCACATCCGCACCATCCTTCACGCCTCCCTTTTCTTAAAACCTGAGTTTGGGGATGCAGGGTGTATCTCCTGGCATTGCTATACCTTTGTGGCTTTAAAATAATTAAAGAATTTAATTTAAAACATCATCAGATATATGTGTGTCTGTCTATGTATAAGTGTAGAAATATAGACATGCATACATAGATAGAATATCAATTTTGTAGTCAAATTTTACCCACACACTCACTATTTATATTGCATGGCATGTGTGTTTTTAATGTACTGCCTGCCTTCCAAACAACGTGGATGATTAAACTTGGAAGTTTAAAAGTTCTCTCTTCTAGACAACTTGACTGATTGAGCGCGCTCAAAACCCACAACAAAATCTCTTTTCAAGGTGCCTCCGACCGCGTAGATTTCAGCTACCTGGTATTTCAGATCTGCTCATCTGAACTCGGAATAAACACTGGGATTTTCCGCCTGAGCAACAGGCGCATCTAAAAAGACGATTGCACCCCCCACCCCAATTTCCGACTGGCGGCTGAGCAGCTGGAGCAGGCTGGGGGTGGGAGAGCAGCTTCGGAAGCCGCGGGCGGGTCGTGGCTCAGGCGAGGGAGGCTCGGGCGGCCGGTGTCGGGAGGACGGCGCTCTGCCCGCAGCCCGCCCGGCTCCAGGCGCCCCGCTTCGCGCGGCCTGATTTGACGAGTGGCCCCGCGAAAGTAATTCGGCGAGCGGCTTCCACAAGTGGCTGGCTGGGTTTTCGGATCTGGGCCGGGACGGGAGGAGGCGGGGAAGGGGAGAAGCGCGGAGCTGTCTTCCTAGGAAAACTTGCTTTGATCCAGCCGTGGATTATTTGGGGGCGCGACGGGGGTAGATAGATGTGGAGCGGACGTGTCTGCACGCATACATGTATATCGATCGCCGGATCCAACACCAGGGTATTGTTTCCATGCCACCTAGAAAGGTCTTCTGGTAGGTGGCTGGGTATGGAAGCACCTTTCACGGGAGAGGAAAAAGAGAGGAAAAAGAGAAGGGAGAAAGAAATGGTTCCTATCGGTCGAAAGGAAAAGAAGGAGATAGAGAATGAAGAGAAAAAGACGAAGAGAAAAAGAGGGGAGAAAGAAATCTAGGCAATTTTTCATATTAGTCTAAAGCGAGAAGAGGAGGAGGAGGGAGCAGGGAAAGACACATAGTTAATTGTGCGTACTAGTTAAAAGAAAAAAGAAAAGAAACAAGGCGATGGGAGAAAAACATCTAGTTCATTTTTCATGTTATTCTAAATAAAAGAAAAGAAGAAAGAAAAGGAGGAAGAGGAAAGACGGAGAAGAGAAAGGGGGAGAAGAGAAAAACATCTAGTTCATTTTTCATGTCTGTCTAAAGAAAAGAAGAGAACGAAAGGGTGAGGAGGAGGAAAAGGGAAGAGCAGAGAAGTAAATTTAGGCAATTTTTCATGTTAATCCTAGCAAAGTTTGGAAAGGTGTCTGATCCAGAGAAAGGAAAAGTTCTCTTTTTCGCTCAGGGCGAGAATTCCAACAAGTGCCAAACTGCTCCCTAAAGGAAGAAAAGGTGCGTACGAGGCCCAAATCCCGCGGCTCTCCCTCTTTCCACGAAGAAAAAGGGAGCGCGGAGGGTCCCGGGGCCGGGCCGGGCCGGGCCGGGGGTGCCGCTCGCGCCTCCAAGCCTGGCCGGCGATGGCGTCTCTCCGGGTCGCCCTGAATAAAACGCGCGGCCCCAGCTTCGCCTCGCAGGCCAGCTTGGAAACACTTCCGCTTTCGGAGAGTTAAATTTGTCCCTTTGACCATCAAGAGCAACTTTTGCTTCTCCTTTCAAAGGACAACAAAAAGATTTCACGCCTAACTTGACCGGAACAAAGAGACCTCGCGCCGGTTTGCTTCACTCGCGCCCCCACCGCGACGCACCCGCACACCCAGGCTGAGCTCGGGACGGATCAGCTGGAAGGGACGGATCGGAGGACTCAATTTTAAACGCACTTTTTGCGGTGGGAGGGGGTCCCTACTGAACTCGGTGGGAGGGGGTCCCTACTGAAATCAGAGGACCTTTCCATGGAAAAAACGTGGAGGTCTCGCTGAGAATGACATATAGCTTTGAGCTGCGCCGATCAAAAAGAAAGCAAAAGAAAGAAAAGATTTTAGGGTGCAATGCTATGCAACAGGAAAAAAAAGTCCTACAACTCCCTGTATCCCTCAGTCAGATGCCTGGGTGGGGATACTGGGAACTGTAGGACTTTTTCCTGTTGAAACCAACATAGGATTGTTCTTTTAGGGTTCAGTCTATACAGAGTGAGAGGTAGATCGATTAAGGTGTGCGAAAATAATTTAATATTCTGGCCTCACAAAGAAGGTATACATGCACGAAGGTGGGTGTGTTTATGAGAAGTGCTGCATGAATTATAAGATTATTGTAGAGATGATATATCTTGGGTTACGCTGGGCTAGAAATTAAAATAACTCCTAAGATATTGCAACTACAGGGTAATCTAACGTGATCTGACACCCAGTTGCCTGTATTTGGGGGTCTACCTGGTAGCAGCTAATGTGTTTTATGTGCCTCCGAATTCATATGCTAACGTAAATATTCAGACACACCTGGTACAGGTAACACACAATGTTCTAATAGAATCCATATCCCAGTTAAGCCGAGTATCTTGACTTTTCGAAGACCTGAATACTCTTGAAGTCACTTGGCAATAGAAATGGACCGACATCGAATCAACAGAAGATGCTGAGAAGGGCTGCCTCTCTATCAAATCTCTCTGATTTTATGAGAGCGAACTACATGTCTTCATGCTTTTTTCTCTCCCCCTTTCCTTGAAATGTAGACATTATTCAACATCGAGTTCTTTATTCATATGGTGAAACTACTTTTCCCAAATGCTTTGCGCCACTGCTGACAATTGCAATCGCATTAGTCCCTTGAAGGCTCCCAGGGCAAATCGCGTTGTTCCCTCTCGAAGTGTATCTCCTTCTTACCCCTCCCCAGACACACACCTTGAAACAAACCTGCGCCTTTTGTCTCACAGAAAAGCAAAATAGTGCAATTGAGCCATCTTGATGCGGGGACAGAGGGAAACGTTTTCCCACTCTTTTTTCTTTCAGCGTGTATTTGTCTCTGCGCGAGCACGCGCGTTACCCCCACCCCGCATTAAGACTTTGAAACTCTCCCTGATGTCCTCCTCGGTGGGTTAGAATAGAAACAGGATTAACTTTCTCTGACCTTAAGAGAAGGTGACATTTTCATCTAGCGATTCCCAGCAACAGCAATAGCAACAAACAGATTCCTGGCAGGGCGGTGGGTGAGCTGAAAAGATGGGGAGGGGGCAGCTTTAGCAAAACAAAAGATGGCCATCAAGCTGCAAAAGATAAGATTGCCCGACAAATGCGGGGGGGGGAGGCAAAAGGAGGAGAAGGGGAGGGAGGAGACAGAGTCCTTTCAAAGTTGCTGCTCTCAAACTCGAAGGAGAAAATAAGGGGCTCCGAAGGAAAAGAAAGGAGAGAAACCCTAACCCCATCCCACCAAAAATGCCTTTTAAAATTAGCAGTGCAAAGTTGAGTGGATCCAAGAGGGTTACTTGGGTTAGTCATATCCTATTAACAATATCACAGTCGTGCTGGTTACATTGTGGATTAGAGCGTCGGGAGCGAGTTGCCTCCGTTTCCCCAGCGCCGCACGGCCTGTGGCCGAGCTTGCTCAATTCGGATCTCCCCAAGTTTGCGACCTGCCTGAGCGGGCGGCAGCTGAAGGGCCAGATCGCCTTCCTTCTCTCCTCGCCCGGCCGCCTTTCCTGCTGCTCCTCCTTCGTCCTTCCCCTGCCCTGCGCGTCGCCATATCAGATTTTCCCAGATTTGTGGGAAAGGGTGCAGACAGAAGAACAGGGTGAGAGAAAGACAGAGTAAGGTACCCCAAATTCGGACAGATGGCCAATTCTAGACACCCCCCCTTCAGATCCACCCATCAGAGATGAGAACACTTTTGGAAGCCTCTGCCTCCATTCTCCCCCGCCCCAGACCCTTTCAGATCGCCTTCCATGGAAGCGGGGCCTCTCTCTCGTCCGTTCGCTTTTTCCTTTCCCCCCTCTCGCTTTTGCTCTGGCGTTCACAGCCACTCTCCTCGGGCGGGTCACACATAAATCTTGCATTTCGCATCAGCCTTTCCTTCCCCAGCACCAGCACCCCCCGCCTGTCGCCGCCCGTCCAGCCAAGAAATGGTGGGACTTGCCAAAATCTCCCCCCCCCCCCCGCGATTCAGTTCTGTCCTGAAGCCTCCCTTGCTGAGCATCTCCCAACTCTGACCGACAGGAAATCAGGCCTGCCTTCTTTCCACTTTGCTTGGGCGCGCACAGTCTCAGCGTCCCTTTAATTAGCCTTACTTTGCCCCTTAATTTGTACACATTCATCCAGCCCTTGGCGGTTTCTTTTCCTTTCCCACGAACACGGCGAGTCACCAGAAAACATCAGACTTGGACTGAGATGCATGTGAGACAAACACCCCACGCACAAGGTGGACCTCCAGCAGCGCCGGGGGGGGGGGCGTCTTCCCTGCATTGGGGGGCTCGTGAATCGCGTCTCGGCCTGTCTGCACACCCATTCGCCGTCCTGCGTGGGCACGACCGTTTGCGAGGGGCCTCGGAGCACTGGCCGTGCGAACGCGTGGGCTTGTCTCCCAGCACTTCCGAGACACCACTCGCACACGCACACGCTCCCAAAAAGAAAAGAAAAAGTTAACAACAGGGAAAAGAGGGTGACTTACCGCAGAACGGAGACTGAAGTTGGGGCCAGGGGACTTGCGGGGAGGAAGCAAGGTTTGTTGGAAGCTCCGCTGGGCAGGCAGATGCATCCACTAGCCAGGAACACTATAGATTAGCATGGGGTCACCAGCACACACGGATTTGATCAATACCCCCGCACTCACGTGCCAGATGGTTTTGGGAGAGAGGAAAGGGTGGGTGGGAGAGACCTTACAGAAGTTACACACACACCAAAAACAGTTCAGATCTGTTCACCCCCACCTTCCCGCCCTTCCAGATTCGCAGAAAAGCTTCACCTGCAAACAAAAAGTTTCTCTGCATGTGTCCAGTTCATTTCTTTTCACTCTGTTCCATCCTAGGAAATGCCTACTACTGCTCCCTGGATTAAAAATAAAATTAAAAATTCTGAAATGTATTTATCTGGCAAAGGTAGATTTGCATGCACTTGTATAGGGACACTCACTCGCAGGTACATGTGACAGAGTACATATTTAAACAGGTATATAGGAGTGCCTATTTTATATCAGGTGCTAAAAGCTAAAATGTGGGGCTGAAGGCAACTTTGGAAGTAATGTTGGAGTATAATGCATGCACCAGGCATGGACCCAAAACACTACAGGCCAACCTGCAGGTATCAGTCACAAGAGTATAGCTACCTGCAATGTACCCCAGGTGACATGTCTCCAGGTGTGCATCTGTGCCCCTTCAACTTGCAATCTTTTCATGCATTTATCTCACTGAGCAAGCAAATGAGAGAGAGAGAGAGAGAGAGAGAGAGAGAGAGAGATGGTTACCTACATATCTTTTAATTATAAACACATCTATATGATTTGTTTACACATTTATTGGTTCTCAACAAATTAAACAATGCTAAAGTTTTCCATTTTTTAAAAAAATCCCTGTCTAAACTTTGTGTGCCCAGGTCTCCAAATATAAACAAAATCACACCTACAAAGACAAGCAAACATATCCGTGTTGGGGTGGGGTGGGGTGGGGTGGGGTGGGGGGAGAGAGATGCCTATTTAGAAGTCCCTAATAGTTTTGTAGGACTTGCTACCCACTTGTAGAATATTTACTTGGATGTAAGCTCCAGGGAGTTCAATGGAGCAAACGTGGATAGGATTGTAGCTTTGATTTATCCACCTAATGCTCTGCCCCATACAAACCAGATATTTAAATATATCCAGTAATTCAAATGGGGGAAGAGGATGACCTTAAATTTCTCCCTTTGAAATCAGTGGACTTCAACGTGTTTACAAAGACTGATTCGTGCCCACTATTTGGACCGAAATATTGTATTTGTCCCATAATGTAACTTCTTTCTTCTGCGATACTATATCAAAGGTCTAACACAGCAGAAAAGATAATACTCGTGAGAATATATGAATACTTGATATCCTGGAGGGAGAGGGTGGGAGAGAGAGAGAGGAGAATATGCACATATTCACTAGCATGTGTGTGTGGAAGAGAGAAATATTGATTTGGGGCGCAGGGAGGGGGGGAGCAGATCAGCGCTTCCTCACGTGATGGCCACACTTTTCAAAACAAAACAAATAAATATCGCCGCAAAGAGCGGTAAAACTCGGGGGCAGATCAGAGCGCGTTGCCCCCCTCGCCACACCACGAGCTATGAGAATGTGCGTCGCGCAGGCCACACGCTGCTGTTCTTAATTGCGTTTATTGCGATTCATTAGCACCAGCGCCGTCTCCCCGCAGTGCGTCCAGCGGAAGCGAGAGCGCCTTCCCGGGGCCCCGGCCGGGCGAGGGGCGGCGCCGCCGCCGCGGGGCGCGGAGCGAGCAGCCCC